GGGCAGAGCACAGCTGTGGCGGGGCCCGGCCCCCCGACAGCCCCTTCATGTTCCTGGGGGCGGGGGAGTACCTCTCCTCATCGAAGGGCTGCGTGGGGGACCACGGGTACGGCTGGTCTGTGGAGAGAACACAGGGGCGCCGTGAGACTCGGGGGCACAGCAGCGAGACGCACGTCCGTGGAGGCGCGGACCATCGGACACCCCTCCCGGGAGCCACCTGGGCAGCGGCCGGGGGTCCCTGGCGAACGGCGTCAACCGCTCCAAAGCACGAGAATCTCAAGAACAGACTGCCATTCCCGAATGGGGTGTCTCAGTGACAGACAGCCGGTGTCCCCCAGGCTCCCCGGGGCCCCGGGGAGCGAGATGGTGTGGTCCTAAGCAAGCAGACAATCTGGGGGGGGATGAGTGACAGCCCATCGATCTGAGCATCATGCGCACACACAGCAGATGGCGTGCATGCAGCATGCGACACAGGAAAGAACACGCCATCTTACAGTCCATGCCACGCACGTGTAGCTTGTCTATACGATGCACATGCCCGTATGCAACACGCCTCTGCAGCCTGTGTACGTGTCTGTAAGCCTCTGTAACGTGCACATGTTACGTAACATGCACACAGCGGGACGTCCGCAGGGAACACAGGCCTGAGAAGGCGATTCCAACAGGAAAGGGGGTGGAAAGACCTGTGGACGGGTGCCCAGAAGTGACCCCAGGACGGAGCTGTCTCCTCGGGGATGTGGAGGCCAGCGGGCTCCCCTGGCCAGGGCCCGGCTCCCCCCGCAACCCGCAAGCCATCCCCCACAGGACACAGGCCGGAGGCTGCGCCCTCCTCTCCTGCCCCCACCGCACGTGCCCAACCGTCAGCCCAGGGACAGGCCTGCTGGGAATTGCGGGCTCCCAGGCTGCGGTCACGACCCAGCAGAGCCTGTCTCCTGGCACCGGACACGGGGTGGCCAGTGCCTGCTTCTGTCTGTCCCTGGAAAGGCCGCCCAGGGCCCAGCCACACGGGGAGGAGGGTCTGCTTGGCTCTTCCCCTCCCTGCTCCTCCTCCACACACACCCCCCCCCGCCCCCATCGGCGTGTTTACACGTTTCTGTTGTTCACTGTGTGACAGTGTCAGACTGCTGGCTGTCAGCTCACCCTCGCTCCCTGCGCCCACCTCCTTCACTCCAAGGCCCTGCCTGGCCGACGCCCTCGGTTCTTGTCACCGGGGCCACAGCAGCCCCGACCATCCTTCCTCGGGCCCTTTCTGTCCTCATCCGCCCAGACGTCGTGGCCCGGGCTTCCCCAGGCACCACTCAGCTTCCCCGTGAGTCCCAGCCCAGCCTCACCCCCGAGGCCGCCCCCAGGAAAGCACGTTTCCCAGGAGAATGAACGCAGCGCGCGGCTGACCAGCGGCAAGGCCGTGCTCCGAGACCTCGGTTCCACAGCCGCACGCGGTGTCACCCCGTCGTCTCTGCTTCATCTCCCCACTAACGAAAGGCCGCCCAGGGCCCAGCCACACGGGGAGGAGGAACCCCTAGGAGCCCAGCCACACGGGGAGGAGGGGCTGGTTGGCTCTCCCCCTCCCTGCTCCTCCTCCACCCCACCCCCCGCCCCCATCGGCGTGTTTACACGTTTCTGTTGTTCACTGTGTGACAGTGTCAGACTGCTGGCTGTCAGCTCACCCTCGCTCCCTGCGCCCACCTCCTTCACTCCAAGGCCCTGCCTGGCCGACGCCCTCGGTTCTTGTCACCGGGGCCACAGCAGCCCCGACCATCCTTCCTCGGGCCCTTTCTGTCCTCATCCGCCCAGACGTCGTGGCCCGGGCTTCCCCAGGCACCACTCAGCTTCCCCGTGAGTCCCAGCCCAGCCTCACCCCCGAGGCCGCCCCCAGGAAAGCACGTTTCCCAGGAGAATGAACGCAGCGCGCGGCTGACCAGCGGCAAGGCCGTGCTCCGAGACCTCGGTTCCACAGCCGCACGCGGTGTCACCCCGTCGTCTCTGCTTCATCTCCCCACTAACCAGTCACGTCACACAAGCCATCTCCCTCCGCGTTAACACGGGTGCCCATCACCCTCCCGCTCACGGCTGCCCGGCCTGCCCCAGGGCTGGCCCCGGCGCTGTGGTGGGAATGTGGCCGCACAGAAGCACAGCGTAGAAGGTGACAGTTTCACAGAAATGGGTGAGATCTGATTATGCAACAGACGAAAGGGGTTACTGCTGTCGGGCAATAAAAAGCAGTTCAGCACGGAGACGTGCGGCCATGTGGGCGCCGTGGAGACAGCGGCCAGTGGGGGAGGCAGCCACGGGGAGCATCCGCTCTGTGGTCCCGCTGGCTGCTGCTGGCCAGGGCTGGCGGGACAGGGGCCTGCTCTGAGCCGGGGGACTAAAACCTCCTAACACGGACCGAGGGGATGGCCGCTCACCTGTGGGTGCGCTGGCAGCCGGGCCGCGGGCTGCACGTCTAAAGGGGGTTGTACAGTGTGTGAGTCAGATCCCACAGACCTCTGGCCAGGGAGGATTACACAGGAGGGGAGAGGCCGGAACAAGGCAACGTGGAACATATACGAACTTTGAAACATCGTCCTCGCGTGTTTCAGGGCCGGGCAGTAAGGAAGCCGTGTGCTCCCTGCTGCGGTTCCGTCTCCACGCAGCACACGCGTGGCGGAGGCGCCTGGGCTGTGCTCCGACAGCCGGAGGCTCAGAGGCAGACCCTGGGCCGGGCTCGAGGTCCCTGTGACCTCACAGGGGGCCCCCGTGCCCCTGGCCTTTCATTCCGGTTCACGCTTCCTGGACCGGGATTCGGATCTGCGGTTCGTCATCGGCGTGTTTCACACTTTGCTGTCATTTACCGTGTCACGTTGTTATAAAAGGAGACGGTGCATGAATCAGCAAATGGATTCGTTTTCACCAGCCACCGATGACATTACCCAAGTTCCGCCGTGAAGGGTTGAGGCGCTGATGTCCTGCACGGACGGCGCTGAGGAGAGCGACAGGCGACCGTGTGCGCCGGCCCCAGGTGGGA